ATTTATACTTCTTTATAAAAACGCAGTCTTGCTATAAAAAAGCTCTTATAAAGAGGTTGTTCGGGATATTTTATAAGTCTAATAATAAATGATTTCAAACATTAATATTATTATAAAGAGGATGTTCTTATAAAGGGTATTTTATATAGAGATATAGCTGTATATTCATTCAAGCTTTTTAAAAATTAATTCATAATAAAATATTATGGAATTAGATAAAAATCCACAAGAATAATAATATGATGACAAATAAAATATTGTAAACCTAACTTGAAAACAATATTAACATATTAGAAAATATTCTTGACAATTCACATTCCATTTTGAAATATACTATGTATTATATTGCTTTAATTGTTTATTGACATGGAGTGCTTCCAACATAATTCTACATGAGAAATTTTATACTAAATACGCTGCTTTGATAGCTCTGGAAATGATTATATATATATATATGAGATCATAACAGGTGTATAAAACTTCTTTTTGATCTATCTACAATTATAAAATAAATATCTAGGATTTTTATTACTACTGTTCTTTAAAATATCTAAAGTTCACAAAGAAATTAAAGAGTGTATTGAATTAAATTTTCTGAGAATTGACAAAACATCTGTTCGAATATAAACATTAAACAATCCACTCGAATGCAGTTTCACCTTAGTAATGTGATCAATGGCTAAATCACATGATTTGGGAATAAATTGGTATACATGTAAAAGAACAAAAATTTTGGAATTGGAAATGATTGCATATGCAATCATTTCTGAGTGTACATGTACTATATGTACTGTTACAATTATTTCATTAAAATCAGCAATTCTGGAAATCATGAAGGGAATCATTCTAACTGCAACACCACATACTTTTCAACCTCCTATTATTCAGCATTATCCAGCATCACATTCATAATCCCTATTTTTTTTATTTTTTTTATTTACTGGCATATGCTGTCGATACGGTAGATCATAATGCATTATCTGTCAATATTATATATCATAATGATCTTCCAGCATATTTCAGCACAATTGTTCAGCACAATTGTTCAGCACAATTGTTCAGCACAATTGTTCACGTTCTTTAGCATATTTCAGCACAATTGTTCACGTTCTTCAATATAATAGACCATGCCACTTCTTCTTTTAGCTATCTTTTACTATTGCTCGGCCTATTAATATAATAAAGAAATTATATAGAGTTAGAATAGTGTCACTTCTAATATAGCAAAAGATAATGTATAAAATGAATGTTTCTCAGATCTAAAAGAAAAAGCAGAAAAGAAGAAAAAAAAATAAAATAAAATAAAATTGTGTACATTACCTTTTCTCCAAGAAAAATATTTGTAAAAATCATTTTATTAGAATTGTAATTCTAACATGTTGGTTAGGTTCTTTCTACCAGAAAAGATGATGTGTTGATTAGGTTCTTTCTATCAGAAAAGATGACGTGTTAATTAGGTTCTTTCCACCTGAAAAGATAATAAATTAGTTAGGTTCTTTAATCCAGAAAAGGCAAAATGCATCATTGATTGAATGATTTGATTGATCTGAGTTTAAGGCTTTTAGCTAGAAAAAGCACAGGAATAAAAAAGAATAGATTAGTTAATAATTAATATACAAATTCTCCTTTATCCTACCTCATAATTACCCTTAAAGTGATCATAATAAATGATATTCGAAGATATCAGCACAGGATTTAGATCAACTAGTAATATTAGTCTAATCACCCTCTCTCACCCATAGTCACAGTGCACAAATTTTCCTAAATTCACAAAACTTCAACCCACCTGTGACATTTGTGGTGCCCTCTCCATGGACACAACTACATCAAACTAACACTCTTCCTAACAGACTACCATTTAAAAATTGAATTGAAATTGGAAAACCATGATGATGATTATGAATGAATCATTCTACTAATTGAAGAAGAACTTGAAGTTAATGAAGTAAATGAAGAACCTGAAATAAATGAAATGGCAAATAATATAGACAACTTAATTCAAGCTCTTGCCAATCTTACCAAAGCTATGAATGCCAGATTAGCCTAATAACCAGAAAAAATCTTGATATCGATTAGGAAATTCTGAGACAAAAATCAAGATCTGGTTGAGTGGATCAGGGATTTCAAAATTGCTGCTTGCGCTAATGGAATCACAGACGAAAGAAAAATCCAAATTATATGAGATTATCTTGAAGGAACCACTGCTGCTTGGTTTGATCAGAAGTATGCTGATGCCAACTTTTGACTGAATGTTTGGATAAATCAACAGCACAATGAACATGACTTCAAACATCAATTTACCCTAAAGTTTTGGACAAATTGAAAAGTAGAACAATGGCAAGACAAACTCAAAACATCAAAATAAGAAGGAACTATAAAAGAATATACTAACCATTTCATCTAGTTACTAAAAAAAGTTGATCCCAATAGATATTATCCAGCAGACTACTATATGTGAATATATAAAAGGGGACTTAAATCTGAAATCAGAAAGTGAGTTAATATTAACTCAGATGGTGCATAGGATAATATTATTAAGATAGCCAAGACTATTGAAGAAGCTAGTACTGAAGAAATAATGCAAACTTATCACCAACTCCAAGCTGCACTATCTGTTGATGTCAATGTATTGAATTAAACCCTTTGAAGCTTAATTGATAGATTAGAACAAGTCAAAACCATTAAGAAAATAACTTATCAACCCAGAATATATGACAGAAATAGGAATTAATAAAGTACCAGAAATTTACCGACCTATTATCAATGTGGCCAGACTGGATATATATAATGATTTTGCCAGAATACTCATAATATAAATGATATTCTTCCAAATAATCAACAGAGTTAACAGTTGACCTACAATGTAAACTTGGTGACTAATAGTAATAACTTTTTTGGACAAAATAATGTTGTCACAACACAAGTACCCAAAGCAAATAATACCTGACTAATTAATACTGACGCTCTTCTTTTACAGATCCAAATGCTTACTAACGTTATCTAGATATTTACCAATACTGAAAATAACACTCATGGTATATCGAACTTAACACTCTTGGTAACATATGAATACTTGATTGAAAAATATAAATGAACTAAAATAGAATCTCCAGAAGATGATGTAAGTGAAGAGATTGAGCAAGCTGAGGAAACATCTATAATACCCAAGCAAGTTGAGAACAAGTCAGAAGACAAAAAGAAAAAGAGAAAGGCCAAAATGGAATTATCAGTACTTGTCTCCTGGGCTATTTCTTACGATATCTTAGATGATCTCACTGCCATAAAGGCCAACATCACCATCATGTAATTAATTAAAACTTTGCTAGAATAACGTATCAAGATATTCAAAGGAATGAGATGACCAATCAAAAAGAAGATGACATGGAAGATGACCAGGATGATCAGCTAGGCAAGAATCAAAACTATCTTAGCTTGGTGTGAAGCCAAAGTCAGAAATATACCTATCGACCTTATCATTAATACTGGAGTCTTAGGATGTGTGGTTAGCCATGAATTTCTAAAAAAACAAAATATAAAAATACAAAAAAAATCAAATATAATGATGACAGATATAAATGATCATATCAAGCAGCTGTTAGGAGCAATTGATGAGTTTTTAATCACAATTAATGGAATCATAATTCTGGCAGAGATCAATATCATGGAAGTCAAAATCTATAGTGTAGTAATCAGTATGAACTTACTAAATAAAGTAAATACCAACATCGATGTCAAAAAGAGTGCTATGATGCTAGAATGGAATGGACAAAAAGGAAAGGTTAATATCCAGTATATCCATGATTAAAGAAATCCTATAAATCTCAAATCTGATATAGATAACTCTGAACTCTCTGATGACGAATTAACTGATAGTGATAAAGAATTTGAAGAACAACAACTAGAGGATCAGAACTTTCTTTGTTAGACTGCCAAAAACTCTTGAATACAGATACAAATGGTTATCCAAATGATAGATGAAATTGCCTTTGAAAGAATATCCCAATATATTACTAGGAGAATACCAAAGATTGATGATGTCTATATCTATAAGAAAGAAATTCAAATTAATAATAAGATAATTGATTGGGAGAAATATAGTCACTTGAAAAGAAAATTTGACCAAATCAAATATCACAACTCAAAATAGAAGTTTGACTAGAAGGGCCCAGCTGAATATTGGTATCAACGTATACTTTTGAACTCAATCCATAAATGTCAAATATGCTATCAGAAATTAATCATATGGATCAATATAAAGCTTCGAGTCTCTGATAACCTTTCTATTTTTCTAGACAAGAGCTCTTGTAAGGATTGGTGGATCAAGATAAAAAACCAGCAACTCTCCAATAAAATTCCAATCATTAAAACCAAGTTTCTGACCAAAGAATCAGCTCTTATCTATCTTCAGCTGGATGAATAAGTAAAATACTGCCATGAATGTCAATACTATGTAGATAATTTAAGAATGATGATAATAATTGAGCAAGACAGATCCAAGAATGAATACTGTGAAGATTGCGTAAATATAGAAAAACTAAACTTACCCGTATGCTCCCAGTATGATACTTGCATCTCTACATCTGAAATGTATGGTATTGGAAGCTATTACTTGACCAAATATTTTTGCTCCTATTATGAATAATATGTTTATATGTTCAATTACGAAGGCTAGAGAAAAAATAACAGAACAATTCAGAAGTTATACGAAGGAGGAATACTTACTTTGGTATACTAGGAATGTAATGAAATTAGAAAGGCCATTCTGTCTCACTATGTCAACGAAGATAACTTTGAAGATGAACTAGGATATATTAGTTATGAAGAACCTGAAGAAGCTCCAGCAGCTAAAATCTTTATATCAATATATCAACAACTAACTCCAGAATGATGATCTTAATTAGCTTGACTAGAATTTATCAATGTTCACCTCTGTGCCAAATATCTAATTCCTTGTGACTCTGAGAAATGTGACGATTGTAGTGTGCAGTTCACACCAATCCTCAAAGCAAACCAGAATACTGACAAAGGAAAGGCCAAAATTGAGTCAAAGAATGAGAAGACTGAAATTCAAATGGAAGCCAAGATGAGAGAAGAAGTTGATTCAAGATAGGGGTGTTCTAGTAAAACAAATAATGAGATGAGAAATAATAACTACAAGACAACAAATAATGACTACCATACACGAGAAACGAACTCTCACAGGAATGATGAAGGACATATTGAAAGAGAAAATGATCAATGTACTACATCAAAAGAAGCCAATTACCTAATTAAAGTTTATACTAATGATGATAAAGGAAGGATTCCAGAATGCATTTATGAAACTGATATGGGATTTGACCTTCACTATCCTAAAACAGAAACTATCACTATCAAATCAAGCCAAACTATTCTAATTGATCTCTTTATCATGTTTGAAGTTCTTATAGGAACCATCTGCCAATTAATATCATGATCATCCTTAGTAAAGAAAGGCATAGAAGTGAAAGGAGGAATAATCGATGCTAGATATATTAGGAATATAGATGTACTTATCTACAATAATTTGACTTTTTCATATCAAATTCAGCCTAACGAATGGATAGCCCAAGCAATATTTTTGAAATTGGCAGATATTGATGGTATTCAAGTAGTTTCGACATGACAAAAATTAGGTAAATCTAGTAGAGGGACTGCTGGTTTTAAATCTATGGAACAAGTTGAACTGGAGGCATACCTCCTGGAGATAGAAGACCGTAATGAAGTAATTGAACAAAGAAAGTTAGACTGATAGCAAATGAAGTAGTTCTAGAATTTATTGGATGCGTATAAGGATCTGTTTATTACTGATATGACCGAATTAGGAAGGATTAATTTAGTCCAATATATGATCAATATGGCCGATATATGTCCTATTTGACAAAGAATATATAGAGCAACTTTACCGGAACAGGAATTTATCCATGATGAGGTACAACAAATATTAAAAGCAGGGATTATTCAATGGTCAAGTAGTCCATGGGCTTCTCTTGTGGTAGTAATTAGTAAGAAGAATGGAAAACAACATTTTTGTGTAAACTATCAGAGAATTAATGCCATAACAAAGAAGGATACGTACTTCTTACTACAGATCGATAAAATGCTAGAAAACTTGGAGAATGCAAAATGGTTCTCCTCGCTCAACCTTGCCAGTAGATATTGGTAAATTGGGATAAAAGCCTCAAGTATAACGAAGATCACCTTCATTTCACAAGAAGGTCTCTACGAGTTTAATATGATACTGTTTGGTCTTTATAATGCTTCTGCTACTTTCTAATAGGTGATGAATGCAATGTTGGGAGATTATAATTGGAACTTTGCAATGATCTATATTGATGACATCAACATTTACTTCAAGAATTTCAAAGAATACCTACAGCATCTACAAAAAGTTTTTCAGCAAATTAGGGAAGCAAGACTAAAATTAAATGCAGAAAAATGTATTCTTGTAAGAAAAGACCTACTATTCTTGGGTAACCGATCAAGATATTATGACCGATCCATCCACTGTTAGGAAGATCCAAGAATTCTCATGACTGCATACAGTTCGCTCTCTTCATTTATTTCTTGGATTAGTAGGTTACTATCAAAAATTTGTTAAGGGCTTTTTACAGATTGCCATATTATTATTTCACCTATTAAAGAATAATGTTAATTTTAGCTAGAAAAGGGAACAAGAAAGAGCATTTGAAGAACTCAAAAGACAACTGATCTCAGCACCGATCTTGATGTATCCAGATTTCTCTTAGAAGTTTTACTTATATACAGATGCTTCAGATACAGGCTTAGGTATGATATTGTCATAGAAGGATGACCAGAATCAAGAATGTATAATTGCCTATGCTAGTATTTTACTTAAGGTAGGAGAAAAATGCTATAGTATAATGGAAAAGGAAGCATTAGCCATCATCTGGGAAGTAAGATAATTCCAACATTATCTTCTTGAAACTCTTTTTGAAATCATCATTGATCACAGTGCGTTTCATTAGCTGTTCACCAAGCAGATTAATCCTGGTCCATGAGTATCCCATTGGATAATGATGATATTGGAATATACATTTACTATTTCTTATCATCCTGGAAAACTCAATCAAAATGCTAACATGCTCTCTCACATTAATCAAAATTAGTAATGGAATGAGAATAAATCTGAGCAGTTGAATAAAATGATTAGACAGTGGCAAGAAAACAAAATTTAAATAATAAAAATGAATCAAATCAACTAAATTATTCACAAAAACAAATAATGGAGATAAATACTTATAATAACTTATTACATTACCTGGAAAATAGAAGTTATCCCATAGGATACGTAGAGAAACAATAATAACGAATCAAGAATCAAGCAAAACACTATATAATACAAGAAGGATTATTATATAAAATTAATAGAAAAAATAAACCAAGCAGCCCTCTACAAGTCCTGAAGGACATGAAAATGGAAGCTATTATAACTTACATGTATGAAGACTTACTCTTAGGACACTTTGCATACGAAGGAACTTATCAATATATTGCTGCTTATTACTGATGGACTGGTATGGAAAGTGATATCTGCAACTTCATAAAGTCATGTCAGATCTGTTAACAAACTGGTAGATGAAAAACCAAATAACCTCTTTTACCTATTAAAATCAGGATGCCATTTGACTAAATCATAATCAATCTGATTGGACCGTGTAAGCTAATAAGTCAAATGGAAATTGGTATATCATTGTGGTCATTGACTATTTTACAAAATGGTCAGAAGCTCAAGTGATACCTGACAAGAAAGCCAGTAACATTACAATATTTATTTTCAAAAATATAATTTGCTAACATAGTTGTCCCAAAGAAATCCAGTTGGACAATGGATCCGAATTTGTCATCTCCATCATAAAATTACTTACTAAATAGTTTAACATATAGCACAAGTTCTCCTTTCTATATCATCTGTAAATAAATAGTATTATTAAATGTTATAATTGAACTCTTTATTCAATATTGCAAAAATATTGCATCAAATTGGATACTAAATGGGATGTGTACATCTCTGTCACTCTGTTTACCTATAGAATATTGAGAAATATTAGTACAAGATACAAGTCATTTTTCTTGATATATGGGCATGAAGCAAGACTACCTATCAAACTTCAATATAAAACTCTCATAACAAGTACTAAAAATATAGAAGAAATTATGAAAAACTGAATCTTCACTATTATATATCACTTTCCTGATCAAATCCAAATTGCATGGAGTAATGCACATGAACCCCAATGAAAAATAAAAGAATGGCACAATTGGAAAATTTGATAGACATTAGTATTCGACATTGGTAAAAAAGTATTAATTTACAATATGATATAATACATGCTAAAAGGAGACAAGTTCAAAGTCCAATGGAGTAATGAGTAGTACTATATTTATGAGGTATATGGCAATAATATCTACAAGCTATGGAATCAACATGGCCAAGTAATCAAGAAACTCTTTAATGGCATACAGCTCAAACAATACTATGAAAAACAGAATTCTCTGGAACATGTATTAATATCTTAATTATGGAATGATCAGTATTGTAATATTAATCAATGATCACATAGAACGAATATTATTTAAATGCCCCTACCCTTTATCTTTCTATCACTTCAAAGAAAAAATAAAATAATGAGCAATAATATCTGGCTAAATGAAGAAGTTGTGGCTTCTATATTATAACTCACTTGGCTATTACGAAAATATGATTTTGATGGCATCATGAAATTTATAAAAGACTAACTACTCCTCATCAAAAAAGAACAGATGCAAGTTATTGATCTTGATCTATTAATAGGTAATGCAACTCTAATTAAATTGAAACCAAAAGTAACAATCTATGATGAAGTGACCAAAACTGATACTAGCAACTCCAAATCAATGACATCTGGAATTCAAGAATATTTTGAGTCTACCACACTTGCATGGGAGAAAAAGATTGAACTGGTCATTATAACCCTTACTCAATCTGAAGGAATAAATACTCTTCAGCTATGACAATACTACCATCTTGGTGAACTAATTCATAACATATCACTATGATATAAGTGATAACTCTATATTCTCAAAAGGGAAATCAAGTAGTAGAATAATATTATTGTGATTGATCATCACTGACAAATTGGAAAGCATACTTTCTGACTATTCTGACATGGTAGTTTGAATAAAATTAGTAAGTAACTGTTCTTAACATCTGACAGTATATCCCAGCTCTGACTAGAGCAAATAAAGGAACTTAGTCAGTAGTTATAATGATTTTGACAGAGCTCAATCTCATAGAAGGGCAAATATTATAATTATTTCATTAAAATCAGCAATTCTGGAAATCATGGAGAGAATCATTCTAACTGCAACACCACATACTTTCTGACCTCCTATTATTCAGCATTATCCAGTATCATATTTGTAACTCCTATTTTTTTTATTTTTTTTTATTTACTGGCACATGCTATTGATACGGTAGATTATAACATATTATCTGTTAATATTATATATCATGATGATCTTCCAGCATATTTTAGTATAATCATTCAGCACAATTATTCACGTTCTTTAGTATATTTCAGCATAATCATTCATGTTCTTTAATATAATAGATCATGCCACTTCTTCTTTTAGCTACCTTTTACTGTTGTTTAGCCTATTAATATAATAAAGAAATTATATAGAGTTAGAATAGTGTCACTTCTAATATAGCAAAAGATAATGTATAAAATAAATATTTTTCAGATCTAAAAGAAAAAGCAGAAAAGAAGAAAAAAAAATAAAATAAAATAAAATTATGTACATTATCTTTTCTTCAAGAAAAATACTTGTAAAAATCATTTTATTAGAATCGTAATTCTAACATGTTAGTTAGGTTCTTTCCATCAGAAAAGATGACATGTTGATTAGGTTTTTTCCACCAGAAAAGATGACATGTTAGTTAGGTTCTTTCCACCTGAAAAAATAACAAATTGGTTAGGTTCTTTAATCCAGAAAAGGCGAAATGCATCATTAATTGAATGATTTGATTGATCCAAGTTTAAGACTTTTAGCTAGAAAAAGCATAGAAATAAAAAAGAATAGATTAGTTAATAATTAATATACAAATTCTCCTTTACCTTACCTCATAATTACCTTTGAAGCAATCATAATAAATGATATCTGAAAATATCAGCATAGGATTTAGATCAACTAGTA